TTCTCTTAAAAACTGAGTTACCGTTTTCGGCACTTTTTGCCCCGTATCTTCGGAACGGCTAGACCTGCCTTCGCCTAAAACTAATCAGCACGTCTCCTTATCAATACGAATCGAATGTTTTTTGAATTATTCAAATCGGTTGATCCGTGTTCCCGAAATCGTCGACGAAAAATTGTATCCGCACATACATACACACACGTACATACATACACACACACATACACACACACATACACACACACACACACATACATCCATTTTTTCTAAGGTATGCCAAAATGTTCAGAAACCTTTGAAACGTAAAGATATATAAAAATTTTCATTTTCGATTTTTTTGCGATTACTATAACTTGCCCTACGGGAAGTTAAAAAGGCAACTGAAAGTGTTGTCAAAACTGAAAGCCAAAAGAAAATCTTCAGCGGCAAATAACTTTTTTAAAAAATAAGAAAAATTGTAATCTGTAATAAAACAAACGTAGTTTGTAAGATATTAATCACAACAGCTCATAGAACCCATAAGTTCTGATTGCTGTTCAAATAAAAAAAAATGATCTGAATAGCAAAGTTAAAATAATTTATTTCAAGTACATAGAACTTTAGATTTTTTTAAATTTAGTACTTTGTATATTATTGAATATTAAAATTCAAATCATTTTCCATATAAAAAAAATATTAAAAAATTAGTATTTTCATTCAAACACTTTTTTTGAAAATTTTGAAAACGCTAGATCTGCCTTACCGAAAAACAAATGCTTTTTGAATTATTTGGATGATCTGCTTTCTCAAAAAATGCGACTTTGCGCACGGTTAATTCAATTAAATTCAACACGTCCCCCCTCAATGCGAATTGTTTGTTCTTTGAATCATTGTAATCGGATGCTCTGTTCTCTCAAAACTGCTATTTTTGCATTGTTTTATGTTTTAAATGTTTTTCATCATGTCTCTAATCTAAACAACTATACAGCGTGATCTCTTTGAAAACAAATTCCAAATTTTCGAAAATTTTGTTAAAAAATATTTTTCAAGTTTTAAAAAAAAATCAATTTTTTTAAATGTTTTCATAATTTTCAAAAAAAATTAAGGTTTTAAAGGTTTAAATTAAGTTACGTTTAGTTTTAGCAATTTGCCTTAAGGAACGATGCCAAGCACCACTAGTTAACTTCCCGTAGGGCAAGTTATAGTAATCGCAAAAAAATCGAAAATGAAAATTTTTATATATCTTTACGTTTCAGAGGTTTCTGAACATTTTGGCATACCTTTAGAAAAAGTGGATGTATGTGTGTGTGTGTGTGTGCATGTACGTGTGTGTATGTATGTGCGGATACAAATTTTCGTCGACGATTTCGGGAACACGGATCAACCGATTTGAATAATTCAAAAAGCATTCGATTCGTATTGATAAGGAGACGTGCTGATTAGTTTTTCGCGAAGGCAGGTCCAGCCGTTCCAAAGATACGGGGCAAAAAGTGCCGAAAACGGTAACTCAGTTTTTAAGAGAACGGTGCGTCCGATTTTAATAATTCAAAAAACATTTGACTTGTACTGAAGAATTGATCAAATTTTCATGAGGGCAGGTCTAGCGGTTTCGGAGATCTAACGAAAAAAGTAAAAAAAATGCCATTTAGCGGTCAAAAATGATCATTAGACATATGCACATCAAATTATCTGATATTTTATAGAGATTTTAACAATAAGTATAAATTTTGTTTGCATTCCTATGGGTTCCGTACCAATGTTTATTCGTTAGACGGCGTTTGTCTCTATGCAGTTAAAGCAGTACGATTGCTTTGAAAAAAAGTTCAGATGTTCCAAAATATGCCAAAATAAAGAAAACATTATTTTTTCAAAAAAAATTTTTTTTTTTTAATTTTTATTTGAAAAAAAATTTTTTTTCAAAAATAAATAATTTTTTGTCCAATTTATAGTTTTTCAAAAATCTTATTTTTTCGAAGTAAATTTTTTTTACAAATGTCAATCGTTTCTAAAAAAAAATATTTTGGTACGGGAAGTTCCAGCAATTTGCCTTAAGGCACGATGCCTTAATTGCCTTAAGACAGAATTTCACTTACAGCTAGTCTAGTTTCGATTTTGCCCCAATCAAATCCTGACTACGCCCATGATATGTTGTAGGTGAGACGATTGTATTTTAGATTCTTACCTCTCATGTATGAAGTCGTCATTGGAATTCGAGCGACTCAATGACTCGACATTCCGCGTAAAGCGTTTAGTGCTGTCACTCCACATTAATATTTTTTATCTTATAGGACACTTCAATCGTAGATAATTTATCATGTTGTTTAACAATTTATTTATATCACTCAATGACTATACTATTACCTGGTGTTATACTTTACATTACTTAAGTATGATTATATGAACTAAATTAATTAGGAAAGTTATTTTGAATTGTTTCTAATTTTGAGTAAATATCCTATTAGTATTTGAACTTACTTATTTTTGGTTAAAGAAAAATAACTTTAAATATTTCACATAATATCTTATACCCTATGGAATCTTTTAGCAATGCACATTTTATGATAACATATTATTATTGCGGTAATAAAAATAATTTTATGATTTTTATTAACTTCATAATTATCTTGATTAATTAATTTTATGATATTTGTATTACTATAAAAATCAAAAATAATATTAAAAATATTATATTAATAATATTAATCATTCATTGTTACTTTAAATAATATTTATTGTTAATAATGAATATTATTTTTATTTATAATTATATTAAATAATATTAATTATTCATTGTAATTTTTTCCAGACATTATTAACTTCCCGTTGGGTAAGTTATAGTAAAAGCAATAAAATCTTACCTTTCTGAACATCTCTATGCATGCCTTTGAAAAAAATGGTGTATATGTATGTGTGTTGTATGTATGCGTGTATGTGCGGATACAATATATTTGTGAACGACTGTTTTGAGAGAACAGTTTTAGCGATTTGAATGATGCAAAAGACATTTTATTGATAAATGAACGTGCTGATTACTTTTTGAGGTAGGACCTGCCGTTTCGAAGATACGAGGCAAAAAGTTAAAAAAATGTTAATTCAGTTTTTGAGAGGACGGATCGTCTAATTTGGACAGAGTGTAAAAATTTATTAAATTTTTGGAAAGGCAGATTCAGCGGTTTCATAGATTCGATAAGGAAAAGGTAAAAAAATGGCATTTGGCGCCCAAAAATGACCATTAGACATAATAAGTCCGCATGATTATTCCTATTTGGATTTTGAATTTTGAATAATTCGTAGTTGAAATGCGGACTTTAGTACTTCCATAAACTTACAATTAGTGTGATTAGTGGAAATATTAAAGTATTACAAAAAATTAAAATATTACACATCAAATTATCAGATATTTTATAGAGATTTTCATAATAAGTTCAAATTTTGTTTGCATTTCTATGAGTTTCGTACTAATGTTTAATCTATTTTTTCAAGGTTTTTTAAAATTTTTAATTTTTGATGCGGAAGTTCCAGCAATTTGTCTTAAGGTACGACACCATACACTACTAGATATTATATTAAATTAAAATTAAACTAGTGGTGTATGGCATCGTGCCTAGAGACAAATTGCTGAAACTTTCCGTACCGAATTAAAATTTTGAAAATCCGAATTATTTTAGATATACAAAAAAAATTTTACCGGAAATTCGGAAAAACTGAATTTTTTTGCATATTTCCGTATCTCCGAAACGGCTGGACATCATTTGCCAAAAACTAATCAGAACATCTCCCTGCGTGCGCCCGAAAACGTGGACGCAAAATTGTATCCATACATACATAGACACACACACACATCCAGTGGCGCCGGAAGCAAATTTTTGATGGGTGGGCTCGCTTTTTTTGTTGATAAGCCAGTGGGTTCGTTTTTTTTAGACATATTAGTTCATATCATATTTTGAGATTCTGAGTCATAATCATATTTTGCGGGAAGTTAATTAGTTTAAAGAAGGTTAATTTTTTTTGGAACTTTGTAAAAAAATAGATTTTTGAGATTTTTAATGTTTTTGAAAAAAATGTCTTGGACATTTTCGACACATTTAAACAAATTGAATTTTTTATACTTTGTAATATTTTGGAAATATTTAACTTCTTTTCAAATCAATTGCGATACGTTAACTGCGTAGAAACATTGGTACAGAACTCATAAAAATGTATACAAAATTTATTCTTTTTATTAAAATATCTATAAAATTTGTGATAAACTATTGTGCATATGTCTAATGACCATTTTTGTCGGCCAAATGGCTTTTTTTTATTGGATCTACGAAACCGTAGACCCGCCTTCCTAAAAAGTTATCAGTTCTTTACTTCGTCAATACAAATAAAATTAAATTGTAACCGCACATATCTACACACACATACATTCAGAAACCTTTGAAATGTGAAGAATAAATATGTAATAATGTAAAAATAGTCATTTTGTATTTTTAACTTCCCGTAGGGTAAGTTATTGTAATGGGCCGAAAATCGAAATTGAAAATTTTTATATTTCTCGACGTTTTGAAGGTTTCTGAACATTTTGGCATACCTTAGAAAAAATGGATGTGTGTGTGTGTGTATGTATGTATGGATACGAATTTCCAGTCACATTTTCAGGCGCACGAATCAACCAATTTGAATGGTTCAAAAAACATTCGTTTCCTATTGATAGGGAGAAGAGCTGATTAGTTTTTGGCAAAGGCAGGTCCGGCGGTTTCGGAGATACGGAGCAAAGAGTGCAGCAAATAGAAATCGAGTTTTTGAGAGAACGGAGTATCCGATTAGAATGATCTAAAAAACATTCAATTAGTAATGATTGAGAGAAGTGTTTATTCGTTTTTGGCAAAGGCAGGTCCAGCATCACCATACGCGTGCATACAGATTTTGTTTGTGTAAATGTTGTCTATATACGTATGCGTATACATCGAGCGTTGTTTCTTATTACGCTCCACACTTCTCCCGTATTCAGTGTGTACAATCTGCCCAACCAAAGCAACGTATTATGTGCCTTTCGTCTTGAATAAGGCTTGCATTCGCCATTAGCATCGGCAGTCGAAGCGACAGAAGCCGAGCCGCGCTAGCCGAAGCTCGAACTCGAAGCGTCGTGTGTAAACGTTTATTTGCCATTGCCAGATCCGCTTTGCTCATTTCATTGGGTTATATTGTGCAGTCAGTACTGAAGTTTTCGTTACGCCACGTATTTCCATTTGAAATATTTTCCCTTCGTGGTTACATACAGGGGTCGAACTCGAACGATTTCTACAGTACGAACGCGGTTCCCACAAATATACACGTGAGTAGAAGTGTATCCGAACCTAGCGACAGGTGTTAGTGAATCCTCATTGTCAGTATGTTTGTTTGTGCTGCTCTTGTAGACTGTGACCGGCATACCATTCCTATTACGTTGCAAAGTTGCTTTCCATCATGAGAAACTTCAAAAATGCACGTGCAACATTATAATAACATTGTGTAGGATACTAAATTAGTGATTATTAATTGTGAAGTGACTTGCTTCAGTGTTGTTCCAAGGATCACCTTGTTAATTACTGACAAATTGTTTAATTGTGTGAGAGTTCTATATCAATTTATATTGGCTTTTGTGAAAGTGTATGAGTTGTGCAAAAACAATCAAACTCATGTTATAATTTTAATATGAAAAGACTATTTGAATAGTTGTAAGTATTTTATGTACAAGTATATATTGAAACTAGTTCAGGTGAAAAGTATTCCGCGTCATTTTATAATTACTAAATATTCTGTGCATATAACATTTTAGCATATCTTTATGTTTCAGAGGTTTTTCAACATTTTGGTTTGGTTTTCCTTAGAAAAAATCGATGCATGTGTGTGTGTGTGTTTGTAAGTGTCAGTTTTGTGTGGATACAATTTTTCGAATTTAATTATTCGAAAATCATTCGATTCCTAGTAATGGATAAGTAATTAGTTTTTGGCAAAGTAAGGTTCATCCATTTCGAATAGTTATATATATTAATAATTACTACTCATTTTCATTTCGACGCATAGGCTATTTTAGTCATATCAATATGTTTGGTCAGCCCACCCATCAATTTCAAATTATATGGGCTAATATCTCTAATAATAAAAAAAAAAACGAGAACACTGGCTGTCTATCTAAAAAAAAAAAAAACGAGCCCACCCATCAAAAATTTGGTTCCGACGCCACTGGCATCATGCCTTGAGGCAAATTGCTGGAACTTTCAGTACCGAAAATAAAAATTTTTAAATAAGCTTCAAATTTTTTTGAAAACTTAAAAAAACACAATTTTGAGAACTTTTTGAAATTTTTGATAAAATGACTTTTTGTATTTTTATTTTATTTTTATTGTTTTAAACTTTTTTTTCAAAGCAATCGCGCTACGTAAGCTGCGTAGATAATTTGATATGTAGATAATTTGACGTCTAATGATTATTTTTTACTAGTAAATGGCATATTATTTTACTTTTTTCATTGGATCTTCGAAATCGCTAGCGCTACCTACCAAAAAATGTATCAATTCTTCATTTATTCAAAACAAATAATGCTTTTTGAATCATTTATTACATCGGATGCTCCGTTCTATTAAAAACTGAATTGTCGTTTTTATCACTTTTTGCCCCGCCACCTCAAAACTCCTCATGCGTACGAAACGAACGTTTTTAAATTACCCAAATCGGTTGATCCGTGCTCCCGAAATCATCGACGAAAATTTGTATCTGAACACATATATCCATTTTTCTAATTATAAGGTAATGTTGATTGCTAAAATGTTCAGAACAGTTAATTTTCGTTTTTTGTGATTAGTATAACTTACCCTGCGCGTAAGGTAAAAAACTCAAGCTAAATTACTAATTTTGTATAAATTATTTTATTGTATTAGAGCATTTGTTGATTACTTGTTATAAAACTATCGAATTTGTTGATTATTTATTATGAAACTATCGAAGTACAACCAATTTAGAAAAGTGAGCATATATATTTTGTATATAATATATTGTGTATGTATCAATTATGATATCATATATGCCATATGTTTGTTCAATATCGCTATCTTATCATTTGTTATTAAGATCGGAATATGTGAAACAGTTACTGCGTTTGTATTTACGTGTATTTTATGCGTCGGTAGGTGTGCGGTGTGGCTGTGTGGTTGTGTGGCTGTGTCGCTGTGTGGCCGTGTGGCTGTATGTGCGGCTGTGTGGTTGTGTCGCGTCCGGGTTTGTGCCATTCGCATTAGTATAGGTTTTTCTTCAATGCATTGAACCGTAACTATGCGTTAACGGTACGGGTACGGCAAACAGAAAACATTTCTGCACTATATGTGTACTGATTTCAAGGGGACAATATGAAATTATATACATACGTGCATTTATACCTATTAGGAAATTACCTCAACCGTCGGTATTACTTTGTGTGTCTCACAGACATTACAACGAATTTTTTCGTTTCGTTACGTCTCCTTAACTAGTGGGGCGTATGGCATCGTGCCTTAAGGCAAATTGCTGGAACTTCCCGTACCAACAATTATTATTTTTTTAAAAAGATTAACATTGTTGAAAAAAAATTACTTTGAACAAATTAGATTTTTGAGAAACTATAAATTTGACAAAAAATTACTTTCTTTTCAAAAAAAATTTTTTTTTCTTTATTTTGACATATCTTGGAAATTCTGAACTTTTTTTCTAAGCAATCGTACTGCTTTAACTGCATAGAGACGAAATGTCAAAGCACGTTAGCGCAGCGTCGCTGTCTGACGGATAAACATTGGTACGGAACCCATAGGAATGTGAACAAAAATATGTGATAATTTGATGTGCATATGTCTAATGATCATTTTTGACCGCCAAATGGCATTTTTTTTTTACTTTTTTCACTAGGTCTTCGAAACCGCTAGACCTGCCTTCATGAAAATTTGATCAATTCTTCATCTTGTCAATACAAGTAAAATGTTTTTTAAAATATTAAAATCGTACGCTCCGTTCTCTTAAAAACCGAGTTATTATTTTTGACACATTTTGCCCCGTATCTTTGAAATGGCTAGACCTACCATTGTCAAAAACTAATCAGCACGTCTCCTTATCAATACGAATCGAATGTTTTTTGAATTATTCAAATCGCTTCATCCGTGTTCCCGAAAATTTGTATCCGCATACACATACATACACGCACACACACATACATCCATTTTTTCTAACAAGGAGAACCCGCGCATTGCTCGTCTGGGATTTTGATGAAATTTGGCACAATGGTAGATTTCATGCCCAAACTGACTCTGGTAAAATATTAGAGGCCTATGAAAAGCGGTTTAATTATAAAAATTAATTAAAGTTTGCATTTAAGCAGCGCACTGTACACCATCGGTACACATAGCATGGAGCGTTCTTTTTTATCAGCGGGAGATTGTCCGAGTGGTAACGTCGGCGAATTGTAATTTTTGCGTCTATGGTCGAGAGTTCGAATCCGACTTAAGGTTTTTATTTTTTTTTACTATTTTCATTTCATATTTATAACTGCATGAGTTAATAAAATTAAAATTAATTCAAATTTTAAATTGATTTTATATTTTTCATTAAATTCTATAATAAAGTCCCCTTTTACGTGTATATAAATTTGATGTGATACCAGAAAAATTGATGTAAAACATTATAATTTCATATTAATAACAACAATAATAAGAGTGGAAAAAAAATATAATTTCTTTGCATATAAACGCTAATATAAGTTCTACAATTGACTGGATGATACTTATCGCAAAGACCAGATAAACATAAAATAGCTCGCAGCTTATTTCTCCACACAGGTAAAGTTTGTTTATTTAGAAAATAGAAATTGTTGTCAAATCAGACAACAAGAAAAACAATTAACTAAAAAGAAAAAAAATTCGAGATACATTCTCTGATTAATCATCAGTTATCTGTGTATTTTTCAAAAGATGATCCAATACGATTGGTTTGCAAGCATATTGGCAAGTATTAGAATTTTTTAAGAAACCATCGCTAGTGCAAAATCTTTATGCAACACTGCCTAAATTTTTTAAAATGTCCTCACTGAAAAATTTATTTTTTTGTTTGTTGTATTGTTAAGTATCATCCAGTCAATTGTAGAACTTATATTAGCGTTTATATGCAAAGAAATTATATTTTTTTTTCACTCTTATTATTGTTGTTATTAATATGAAATTATAATGTTTTACATCAATTTTTCTGGTATCACATCAAATTTATATACACGTAAAAGGGGACTTTATTATAGAATTTAATGAAAAATATAAAATCAATTTAAAATTTGAATTAATTTTAATTTTATTAACTCATGCAGTTATAAATATGAAATGAAAATAGTAAAAAAAAATAAAAACCATAAGTCGGATTCGAACTCTCGACCATAGACGCAAAAATTACAATTTGCCGACGTTACCACTCGGACAATCTCCCGCTGATAAGAAAGAACGCTCCATGCTATGTGTACCGATGGTGTACAGTGCGCTGCTTAAATGCAAACTTTAATTAATTTTTATAATTAAACCGCTTTTCATAGGCCTCTAATATTTTACCAGAGTCAGTTTGGGCATGAAATCTACCATTGTGCCAAATTTCATCAAAATCCCAGACGAGCAATGCGCGTGTTCTCCTTGTAAGGTATGCCAAAATATTCAGAAACCTCTGAAACGTAAAGATATATAAAAATTTTCATTTTCGATTTTTTTGCGATTACTATAGCTTGCCCTACGGAAAGTTAAAAATTTGAATATTTTTTGAATTACTGTAATCGGTTGCTTCGTGTTTCCGAAATTGTCGACGAAAAATTGTATCCGCACATACATTTGTACACATACACACACATACATCCATTTTTTCTAAGGTATACCAAAATGTTCAGAAGGCTTTGAGCCATATAGAAAGTTAATGATTAAAAAAACTATTTATTTCTCTTCAATTTTCTACGTCTATTAACTTCCCGTAGGGTAAGTTATAGTAATGGGCCGAAAATCGAAATTGAAAATTTCTCGACGTTTTGAAGGTTTCTGAACATTTTGACATACCTCAGAAAAAATAAATGTGTGTGTGTATGTATGTATGGTTACAATTTTTCGGTCACGTTTTCGGGCGCACGGATCAACCGATTTAAATGGTTCAAAAAACATTCGATTCCTATTGATAGGTAGATGTGCTGATTAGTTTTTGGCAAAGGCAGGTCCAGCCGGTTAGGAGATAAGGAGCAAAGAGTGCAGAAAATAGAAATCGAGTTTTTGAGGATGATCCCAAAAACATTCAATTCGTAATGACGGGGACAAGTGGTTATTAGTTTTTGGCAAAGGCAGGTCCAGCCATTTCGAAGATACAGAGCGAAATGTGCAAAAAACGGCAGTTTATGAGAGAACTAAGCGTCTGATTTAAATGCTTCAAAGAACTTTGTGCTTGTTTCAACAAAATAATTGATTTTGTTTCAAATTTTTGTATATCGAAAATAATTCAGATTTTATTTTTAATTCTGACTAAAGTTCTAATATACTTCAAACAAATAATTTCAACTTTGCAATTCAGTTAAGGGGGGCGATACATGTAACAAGAAAAAAAAAATCGATTTTTTTTTCTTTCATAAATCGTTACAATAACATCTCAAAAATATGCCTGTAAATATTCAGAACAAAATTATCATTATTTATACAATAAAAAC